AACCACGCATTTGCAAGCAATAAAATAACTATTTTCATTTAAATGATGTTTAATACTGCTTTCCTATTAAAAATCTGTAGAGGTAAAACACAAGGTCAGAGTCATTAGACCTGCACATTTATTTTAATTCACATGAATTCTGCACACAGTGAAACTGCCACCCTCCAACCATGGAAGCCTTAAGGATCTGAAAAGTACAGCTGTTCAGAAACATCAAAGGAAAGAAACAGCACAACACTAAATGTTGGTTGCACCATATAATACCAGCAGCAAAATTTCTATTACATCTGGCAAATATAAACAACTAATTAATGTCGGCCTCACTTCGCTGTTTGTCTGAAACAGACACCAGAACAGTCAGAGCATGACTCGACAGGAGCAAAGGATGGCAAAAAGGAAAACAGTTACACCCAAAACCAGATACAGTAAATGCCACATAGCAAAACAAACAAAATAACCAAACCAAACCGGGAAGTTTGCAAAACCTTTGGGAGAAAAACAAGCTCTCCCCAGCCGGCATTGAAGCTATGCTCTGGTAGCATCCTTCTACAAACGCAGATACAAGTATCCTTTCCATCTACTTGAAATCCCAAGAAAGATCCCTGATCCAGCAAAAAGAAGGGCAGGGCAGAATTCCCCGAGTTAAGCTTGGCACAGGGTTTTCCTGGCTGACTGGTACAAGGTGGAGTCTCCTTCAACTAACACTGGCTCATTGCCAGCTCAATGTGGGCTACACTGAAGGAGCTGAAGTAGCTTAGATTTCTGTTCCCCTGGCAGGGAAAGGTCAAGGAAGCTCTGTACGGCACCTGAAGTTTAAGAGCAAGATGCCAGTCTCCCTCAAATCAGATGCTTTGATAGCATCTGCTGGATTCTTCTCCTTATCCCAGCAGCCAAGACTGTACATTAGCTTCCCATTACTGACAACTGCTTAACAGACAAATTACCATCCTACGTGTTTACCTTAACAGAATATATACATTTACACATATTCAGGTGCTCAGGCTGTTATCTCAGATTGGAAAACCTTCCTTGGCACCAAAAAGGGGTTTAGCATTGAAATATCAAACACGGTACTTACTCCAAGGAGTGAAAAAAGAAATAAATGTAATTAATGTTCATCTGTGAGGCAATCACAGGGAAACATCCAACAGAACAGTCTGAGTTCAATATTGTAAACTGCATCTCCCCATTTAAAATCCCAAAATAGCATTAACCAAAGACTGAGCAAGAGTACTCCATAAATGTGCACCTAAAAGGTCACTTGAAAATCTCATGTGAATTTCATTAGTTGCTAGATCAATTTCACCACCATCTCTCTACTTCAATCAACACTACCAATTGCAACTAAACCCTACAACTTGTTTTTGTCAGTATTACAAGAATTTTGCAACAAAGCTGATGCTTAAGTTTAGCTATAACTAGGCTGATGATTTCTAAAAATCCAAGAGATTCCAAGAATTCATGACCCAAAAAAGAAAAAGACAATTGATTCTTACACAGCTCTAAGGCAAAGAATTAGAGAATTTGTTGTCTGCTTGTGTTTTTAAAATTCATTCTGAAACTCATGTCCACTGATGTAGTGCAGACATTTAATTTTTTTATACCACACACAAAAGGCCCTAACCAGCCACACTATTTTTCTTCATCCTCTTGCCTCCTTTTACTATAGTTTTCATGTGTTTGGTTGAAGCATTTCAATACCACCTTGTTATTCCTTAAAAGAACAGATCCAAACCCACCAGAACACTGAGTGTTACACCATTACTGAACAAATATCATTTATATAATATTTGAAGCCTGGGCTTTTTTTTTTTAATTGCACTTTAGCAATATCGTTCTAAAAAAGGAAGTGAAATACTGAATTGGGGGGGAAAAGAACACCCATCTGGGAGTAGCAGAAAAACCCCAGAACAGGGACAGAAAAACTGACAGTCTGAGAATGTCCTCCGAGTTCTATCAGCAGCAGAGTTCCCAGTTTTCCTAACAGAGCCTGTACTAGGATACAGAAATAACTTACATGGTATTCATGTGAAGAATGAGAAGGAATTCTCATATGGCTGAGTCACAGGAAAATGACTAGAAGTATAAGAGGCCATTTCAATTCATAGCATACTTGTAAAAATTAATACCTGTGAAATTTACTTATACAATTTACTGAGAAGTAGTTTGTAACTAGTACCAAATTGCATCTATAAAGAGCAAAAATCAGGACATTTCAGTTGCTCAGAACACAAGGGCAGTAGGAAATTCATCTGAAAACAACAGAGGGACAAAGGGAACATGGGAAACAGAAAACATTCAAAGGTAAATTAAGGCTTGCAAGCAGTTTCTAGTCCTACATACTCTAGAAACAAAAGAACTAACTTGATGCACAGAAGTAAAAATAAATGAGTACTGGAGAAAAACACAAGCACAAAACAATACAAGTATAGAGAAGAGAGAAAAGACAGGTGAGAAAAATAAACACTGCTTTAAAAAGTATTTTTCTCCTCCTTGCTGAATATATAAAAAGGTCATTTAAGAAAAGCAACTGGCAAATTGGAAGAAAAAAAGCATAACTCAATTAACAGAGAGTTACACAAATCTTAACAGGCAGCATTTGTTTCCTTCAAAAAAAAAAAAAGGAAGTGCAAAATCAAAACTGTTTGTGAATATTATTCAGAAAAGGAAAAATAGACAGCATATGCCAGTAGGCTGCAGACAAATCAGCTGTGTGAACAAACTTAAAGGCCATGTAGCACCAAAAATATCTCAAGAAACACAATTGTCTCCATGCACATGCACAAAAACCCATGGAATCTGCCAGGAGCAAAACTATCACCCATATTTGAGATGTCTCCAGAAACCTGGCCTACAATAAGCCAACTTCAAATGAATAAATGAGTAAAATTGTATTTAATGAAAACAAATTGCATAAAATAACCATCTACAAAATTACAATGGCAGTAAAGAAAATTATTTCTTCCAATAACCCTGACGGAACACAAAAACCCACAAGATACAGCTTGCTAGACACTTCGCTATATATTTTTCTGGAGTCTATAAAGGACTTGGTTTTGGCATGATAGGAAATTGCATATTAATTCAAGGGGGTTTATGAATATACTGAACCCAGCAGTGAATGAATATTACTACTGGTGGGTAGACTATGGTAGTCAAACAAATGTCAACACTGTCTTAACTTGGATCAGTATTTACACTTAGGAAAAGATAACTGGGACAAAGTTCTTTACAAGTATTTTTTAAAATGCCACTTCAATGCATTTCCTAAAATGAAACTGGAAAAACTGTTTAATTGATTTTACATGGAGAAACACCACACCTCTGCACTGCACTGTCGGTTGCAGATCTAAACTGAAACACAAAACCCCCACCAAAACCAGAAAACCCACCTTGTTTGTGAGATTTTTAATGCAAAAATGACGAAAAGTCTTCATGAAGTGACCAGCTAGAAAACCAGCAAGTACCTCACAGAGCTTACCAGTGCAAAGTCTCTGCCACCCAGTTCAGGTATTTTAGATTTACTTTATAAAGTGGCTGATATGAAGTCAATCAATCTGTCTGATATATACTTGGAAAAAAGCATGACTGCTGCCTGCCTCACCACCGGTCTGACACTGCAGTTGGCTTTGAGCAAACCCATTCCAGGCTTCAGCAACGTGCACGCTTTAAACACACAACTCCTGTGTTTTAAGTCATACAATGAAACCCCAGACGGGTAGAGGTGTTATTGTCAGGCGGCACAGCACATTCGACAGACAGTTAATTTCACAGACAGTTACTTAATTTCACAGAAACAAACCGAGAGACCCATTAGCTACAAGTTTTAGTTATGTTTCATGTTTCACTTTCTGTTCCTTTATGACTGCTGCAGTTCTGGTCACTGACCTTCAGCTGCCAAAAGTTTTGCTGAAGAATAGCAACCCATCTGAGCAGATAGCAAAGGGTCCGAGCTAACCTCTAGCCCAGCAGCCGCATTACCGGGCCGAGGCGCGCACACAGCCTCTCACCCTCGCTCCCCATCGCCCCGAGACAAAGGCGTCCCAACGGCAGAAGGGCTCGGAGCAAAGGACAACCTCACGACACCGTCCCGCGGCC